TCACGACAGACTACATGCTGATCCCTCCGGAATTTCACGGTCGTAGTTCTTTCTCTTACGTATCTATGTTTGCCGGGCCACATAAAAATCTATCGGTATATCGTAAATCGTCATAATCCCTCACGCCCGAGTTCCTCGCGATCGTATTTACTTCCTCCGCCGACAGATCTCTTCGCCGGTCGCCGTATAAAAATCCATCGGTATCCTGGATGCGGGCGCGGCGTATCCGGGGAGGAATCGAGCGCCCGGGCAACGCGACGGCGTTAAACCCAGAAATCACAGACACAGCTGTTTCCGGTAGTGACCGTAAAAAAAACAAACTGCGCGCGCGAGCGAAGGAGCTGCTCAATAAAACATAAGAGGGCGATCAAATAAAACCGCCGCGGCGCGCATTGGGGAGTGCGAACGACAGAGAGCCGACGAGCGAGAAATCGCTCCGCGACAAAGACGGACGGTGGCGGAAAACGCGGGCACCGACGCGGTTGGAGAAAGACGGGGAGCAGGAGAAGAGAAGAGACAAGGACAATGCATATCGATTCGCAGACGCGGGAGCGCCGCATCTGCCCGCGTAGGTAGATCCGGCCGTTCTCTTCGCCGCGAGCGAACGAATGAACGAATGCACGAACGAACGAATGAACGAACGGACGGACGAACGGGCGAACGAGCGAACGGGTGAGCGAACGAATGACTTCCTCTTTCGCGGCGAATCGCGCATACCGTTGGCGTGAAGAATCGTAAAATTCTGAAAAATTTATCGCTCTCTGGCTCACCACGCGGCACGATATCGTCAATGGCACGATGCCTTCCACCCTGCGGAATTCCGGACGGTTCCAGAGACGAGAAACGCGGGAAGGGTGAGAATCGACGGTGCGAGACGGTCGGTGCTACATATTTAAGCGCTCGATCATCTCGCCGGTCCGGTGAATTCTGACAGACTGATCCGAAGGAAGGGAGACGGGAGTAGGGGGTGGGCCAGGGTGGTAAGAGAGGGACGGAACGAGAAGCTCTCGTGGTGAATTTTTGAATGGCTGGAAAAAGGCTCCGCTCGCGTAGTCCGTAAAAATGATAAATGAACAGCGGGTACGTGCGAAGCGATCGACTAATGTATAAGCGGCGTAATTCGAATACATTGTTAATTTAAAGCGATTGCGTGTAACGCGGATATGTAGCACGCAATGGCTCGAGTATCCAGTTGATGTTTTACGAACGAGTAATTACAGGTTTCGGTGAAGTTGGAATTTTTTAGCGAGGCGAAATGGAATATTGCCGTTACGTCGGAATATATAGAATATTGTCTGGCGCAGAGGATGGAATCATTTCCGAATAATTAAAACATTGGGAATGACGCGCGCGCGCGCGCGCACGGCTATCGATTGTAATCGATATTGTTAAATCATCCGCGGTTGTACAAATGGTGCTTCGCGACACCGATATATTTATCCGTCCCCTATCGTTTACGCGAACGCCGAATCCCTATTTCTATTGGTCGACGCGAACAAATGGACTACGCCGAGCCGATGACTTGTGCAAACAGACGCTGACCAACTTTAATTCGTTTCGCAAATCGAGAAACCGATTGCGGATTTGCTGAACCTTCCGTCAGATATGTACGCTCTCCCGGACAGCTTAATCGTGTCCTCCTACCTTCCAAGCTGGTCATCTCTCGTCCCACCGTAAAATATGAGAAAATAGACTCTGGCAAATCTCTTTCGCGCTTTACGGACGGATATTCGAGTTTGATGATTCCGTGCTCAATCGGGGCCGGCGTTTGTGTAGAGAAGCAGCTATAACACGTAATACGTATAGATATACTTATTTAACCCACTTGGACTACAATGGACTAAGTACTTTCCTTTAATTAACATCAGCAAATATAGGTAGAGTCGAGCGTACACGTACACTGACATCGACGTACATACATATCATTCTGTTATTACTCGATTCATTAAGATATTTCGATCTCTCGTATGAATCTTCGCTCTCGGCCAAGCCGCACCGCGCTGCCGCAATCCGCATTCGAACACGACTCACGCACGAGGGATGATAACACGGCAACGTGGAAAACAATAAAGACGCCACGTTCCCGCATAGGGTTTATGCAATGAGATCGCCGCTCGTAATTCCGATAACGCGATAATGTTGACCACCCTGGCGACCGAAACGATTTATAAGTCCCTATCTCCGACGGGTCGTTTTAAATTATGTAGCTCTTTTATTACGGTGAAAGACGATCGTCCGGCTGGAAACACCCGTTGCGACCACCCACGGTACGTGGTGTTCATCGTTCCGCTTACGCACATCCAAAATGACGAAGGGCCGACGTGGGTATGTGCGCTCGCGCGCGCGTATAGCAATTAATAATACGGCCATCATTAACGCAAACGCGAATCGCTGGATAAACCTAAATTATCAGGCGGGCACAGTTGAGTGATCGCGGCTGCGACGGCTAAGGACAGACGCGAAGCGCAACAAAGTACAGGAATAAACTATAAGGGAACGACGAAGCTATATTTTTCTTTTACGATGTTATATTTTACTTCTCAGTCTTCTCACTGGTATCTCTCGGTCGAAACGCTGTGGTCGCGAGAGATCGATTATAATGTCACGAATCTCGGATGTACCGTGCCGCCATTAATGCGATCTTACGCTCCATATATTTCCCCTGTCTTGTCGTTATCGTATAAATTTTGTTATCCATTAAGGTGTGTGTGCGCGCGCGCGCGTGGGCGCACGCGTAAGGTAAGATGTTAACGACGATGTGCTAACGAGGCCTGGCGAGACCTTCGCGATATCGAGCCCTCCATGAAAGACCTTGTTCGTCTAATGGATCAATTAGTCCCGTCTAACGGGCGTCCAATCAATGTCAATGAATACCCATTATCACTAAAACCAATTGCTAACGATATTCGCAGGGTGACGCAGCGTCGCCCGGCTGGATTATCGTTGCCCGTTCCCCAGTCGAGTCTCGATAGAAATACCGCATCGTATCGAGATAACCATAACGAGCCGTGAAAACGAATTTCCACCGGCGTGGCGCGGCGCGGCGGCGGTAGCGGACGACACCGACAAAAACACCTTCCTCTCTTCGGAGCGACGGACAATGCCCGCTCATCGGTTTGCCCATTATCCGAATTTCAATTAGCCGCCTATATCGTCGCGATAGACAGTTACGCGTGAGTACAGAATGTACCGGGGATAAAGGGCGCGGTGCACGGTCGTTGAAACGCGGGCGAACGTTTTCCGTGTCAAAGACCCGCGCGCGCGTAAAAAAAAAAAAGTAATAATAATAAAGAAAAAATATCGGGCAAAATTTCCCGACAAAAAAACGCCGCCGCTATTTTGACGGATTATTACGAGAGAACGGATTACGTCGACATGTTGGTACGCGAAACGCGAGGTCTCTCTTTCCATACAATAAACGCGGATTGTACGCGGAAGCGCGCGCGAAATACGCCGTTATCAACAGGCAGATTATCCCGGGGAAAGAGCTCACGGCGAGATTTTAACGCGAGTTCTTTTCTTTCAGTTATGTGTAACAGAGGCGGGTAAGCCGGTAAACGCCTGTATTACACTCGCTAACTTTGTCAACCTGACATTTACATATGTTAAGCCCGTCGGGCAAAGACGATTACAGATCTATCCGACGCAGTCGTAATTTAATACAACTGCGTGTCGCTGATGCTTATTGTCCTCCTGCGCGGAATATCGCATAAATACGATCGCGTGTTGCTTTGGCAAAAAAGAAACTGGATTCCTCGAGCGTGTTTAACATGCAGTACGAAACACATGCTATCCTATGGATGAGCTTACCGTGTGGCGTAGAGTCCGTTGCCGATCCTCGTAATCCTTGTTTCGAGGCTGACACTTTAGTTGCTCATTCACGATGAGTTTCATAGATACACCATGTTTCAATATGCACGCGTTAAAGTTTCGATGAGTCTTGACTCTCCTCCGAAATTCTTGTTATCACGCTCGCCCCGTATAATTTGCACAAACTAGCGGTTTAGTAACGTTTATCTCATAATATCCATCCAAGGTTTAAAATAGCCGGTATATATTAGTATCTTAATACATATATCTTTATCAGAATGTAGAAACGTATTATATCTGCAGAAACTAATTGCACTCCTAGCGTTTCGGCTATCCAATATACTGATCTGTCCTCGAAATGAAGATTCGCCTCCGATCACGGTTGATTATTTGAGACTCGACGCCGCGTTTCGCGCAAAAGTACAAATCGCGGCGAGAATACAAAATTTTCGGAAGCGCTGTGAAACACAATCCCGCGTTCTCGGTAGCGAATTACCGGTATCAATTCTAAATTGCTCCCGACCGTTCTCGGGGTCATTTGAAAAACTCCGAAATTTCGTACGTCACCATTTTATTGCGTCGCAGCCACATTTTGATGTACCTCGGATGAGGATTTCGCAACACGATTGACGCAATCGATTTTCTTGCAAACGACAGAAACGACAGTTGTTCACCTCCACTGTTAGGAAAATCCGACGACCCGGCGACGAGCGATGCAAAACATCCGCACGCTTCCCGGCGACTGGAAGGGTGGACGAGAGTCGGCGGCTCTCGGGGGTGGATTGTGCGCATGCGACATAAACAAACCGTAAAGAAAAAGCCAATATACCGGGTGGGAGACTCCGGCAGTTTCTGGTGTATTCAAGTAGATGACATTATAATATACAACGGTTCGGAACGGTACTAGTTCTGTGTTATAAGTCCGCAACGGACTTTGGCACTCCGGATATCCGGGATATCGCGCGAACGCGATAAAGGAAACCAGAATTGAAACCCCCTCGGTTTCCGGAAAATGCAAATCATTCGGCAAATGCAAACAATTGAAAAAAAAATTCGCGTCGCCTGTAAAATACAGGATGTTCGCCGATCGTTGTGTAAAAACAGTTACAAGTATTCGCGTTATTGAGAGCGTACAAAGCCGTTGTGCAAATACGATCGGTATCAATGAAGTAAAAAAAACGTGCAAAAGCGACATTTTATTTTGATTTTATTTTATTTGGCTTACAAAAAGGATTCTACTTTTTCGACTTCCGGATTTATCGCTTTTCGATCATGCGATGAATTATTGTTAAGAAACGAGTAACATAATTTTAATGTCACTTAACGGTGGAGCGATATATATATTATGTTCCGCGTTCGTCTGACATATCTGCTCTATCACTGACAAGTCAGTGCTTTGATACGGCGCATTCTGCGTTACTCCGTAGGCTTGCAGTCCATCTAACAGTCTGATGCGCTATAGATCCTCGCCTTCTCCGTGAATTGCGGTCTTAGAGCAGATATCTCAAACGATGACATTTGCAGTAGAACATAAACGTACACCTCGCATTAACCCTCTCGCGGCTACGAAACCGACGATAACGTTCCATTAACAATGTGATGATTATCGCACGCGATAACGATATCAGGGATTGCACAAAAACTTATCATTAACAAATAGTATAGCACACAGATATTATATAAAAATACTTAAAAAGTTTCTTCTAAATGTTGCATATAAATGTTATACATGTCGCATTATATATCTAACAAATGTTCGCTTGGAACAATATATGATATTTTTTGTATTTAGTTTATATCTAGTCTACATGAACAATAAAATAACAAAAATGAATATTATCTTAGAATTATTAATACAAATACAGAATAATTAATCTTGGAAATAAAGATATAATTTATCGTCAAAATTATAGTCAAAATTCGTCATAATTTTATTTAATTATGCGACGTAGATTGAGAGGTTAGATAACTTGATACGGAGCATCTTCTTTAAATAATTCTTGTTTTACAATATCAAATAATATCCCAGGATGAAGTTGCATTAGCTTTAAGAACTCTGTAGTGTTAATAATCTCAGATAAGTGTAGCTTGAATAATCTTTTTACATAACTCTCTAAATATTTTGCATTATAATTAATTGCAATATATAAATATTGTACAACATTCTCTTTTACTACGCGCCCTATTAAATATTGTTCGCACAATAATTTAAGACCTTTTATGCCAAATTCATCAGCTGCTGTAAGAAGTTGATAAATTTTGTCCTTATCTTGTTCATCTAATTTTATAATATCAGACATGAGACGGCCAGTTTCTAAATAAAATATTACCATGTTGAAAATATCGTATGCTACATCATTCTTTATTACTATTATCTTACTCGCATCTTCTGTCTTTAACAATTTAGTAAGGAACTGGCTGCTCGCACATGTTGATTTTTTTACACGAACACATTTCCCTTTTACTTGAAATGTAACAAGTTGGTCAGATTCATCGAAAGTGAGATCGTTCGTCATAGCTGTTAATAGTGGTGGTACTTTTAATATATTCTCGTACATAGTGCTATGTGTTAGAGTTTTATCTGTTTCAAAATTAAAGCATATTGAAAGTGTATTATTGTTTTCTAAATATTTCTTGTCCACAATAACAGCGACACTTATTTGATAAAACGTAACCGCCGGAATTTCTGGACAAAATATTTTCCACATTCCTGCAGGACGCAAGATTGGTTCTTCATTATTAATTCGGATATAACAATCATATCTGTGAATATTAAACTGATTTTCACCATTACAATCAATATAAAATGTTAAGATATCCCTTTCTCTATCAATGCGCATATTTATATCAAAAGAATGTCCTTCAATGCTACTAGATGTTAAAGTGTCAATAAAGCTGTAAAGATGCCAGAAATCAGCAATACTCCAGGTAAAAGTAGTCACTTTTACATCACACGACGTTCGACAATGAGAAAAGATATGCTTTGTCGGAAATTGATTCTTATTTTCGGTGGACATCTCTGCCTGTTCATCGAAAGTGAGATCGTTCGTTATAGCTGTTGTTAATGGTAGTGATTCTTCTAAGTTGCAAGTCTCATGTATACTGTCTGACATCGTGTCTGTAAATAATCGATGCACTTAATAATTATTCTTACAAAAATAATTGAAAAATTCTAAAAACTTTTATCAATATGTTCAAATCTATGCACATATAAATATATTATTTTTCAAAACTAATAAATAATATATACATGAATTACGAGCTAGAGCTGGATATTTAATGCTCCAATATACTAACAATAAGTTAAAATTCAATAAATAATATGATCAACACAAACGTCCCACTTCAAATCATTTTCAATGTTAAAAACGGTAAATTAAACATAGAGTTTTAAACGGAAACGCGGTAATATAAAAGATCTGTACATTGATAGAAATTCTTGATCGAGAACGGAAAAATATCGTAACAATACCATCCGAAACGAATAATCAGGCGCAAATCCTCGAATTATCTTTGTAGACTATTTGACTTTCATAACTTGAAACTTATAAACGCAAAACTGTCACAAACTATTAAACTGTCAATTTTATTATAATTTGTTAACGATGTACGAACTTCTGGATTCAGCTGTTCAAGCTTCTGTTACTAACGTTGAGTTTTATAACATTATTCGCCCTTGTCGCCTTAAATCTGGGACGACCGTATGTTTTGTCTAATATAACTTCTCGACGTTTTAATTGTACAAAGATAATACAAGGATTTGCGTCTGATTATTTATTTTGAATGTATTATGATATTTTACCGTTCTCGATCAAGAATTTCTGTAATATTGTAGTCGTACCTTCGATTACGCGGCTACACCACACTTTACTTAAAGGCCGTTTCGGGAGATCAAGTAACGAAAGTAGATATCGTCCTTTATCGTCTTTATTTTGATGAAACAAACTCCAACTCGCGAACCGTCTCAACTCGCGTTGTGCTGTGAAAATCTCAGCCGACTGTCTTTCGCGAATGCTCGCATTGAACTGGTCTCGGAAACACTAATCATCTGACTCACGCACAATAGGCGTCACTCAATAACAGGCAAAACCTCGAAAGATAGAATTCAATAAACCAATCGGCACACGACACCGAATCGGTGAGCACGACGGGAATGCGTGAGATTAAGAAAAACTAAACGTGATCAGCCTCAGTGCGGAATTCGGACGACCGAATATTCGAGAATTACACGTGATTGCTGAAATTTACAAAAAATTATAGCGCGTTCTCGAACAAATATCAATGTATAAACCTTTTATATTACCGTTTTCCGTTTAAAATTCTATGTTTAATTTACCGTTTTTAATATTGAAAATGACTTGATGTGGATCGAAACGTTTGTGTTGATCATACTATTTATTGTATTTTAACTTATTACATTGAAGCACTAAATATCCAGCTTTGACTCATTTTATTTATTAACTTTGTTAATTTATTGAGCCTTTCTTTAATTAATTATATTATTTTTTAATTTGAGTAAAAAAAAACTTGAACAAAGAAATATTTTATAGCTATAGGTTTTCACATTGGACTTTAATGTGTCTTACAGCGAATTCGGTTGGACGCATTCAGTGTATGTACATTTAAACTATTGTGCGTACAACATAGGCTGCGTTCCTTTTGGCGCTTACAGCGCTTATAAGCATCATTTATCTTTGTCCAATATTTGATAAACAACAAGGATGAAATGATTTTGTGAGCGCTGTAAGCAGCTGTAAGCGCCAAACGGAACGCAGCCATAAAGATATGTGTTTAATATAAATATGGGTTAAATCGCGAAATTCTTCATAGCACTTTAGTGTACTATTTGATAAGATATGTATTTTATTATTCAACATATATCACTTACATTGAGATTAAGACGAAAAATGAGTACGCACTAGTACATCCAATCGAATTTGCTATTAAGCACTTATTTTTGGAGCAAATAATTAAATTTTCACTAAATTTTACCTGCGCTCTTCGATGTCATATTCTTTTTCTTGCGATGTCGACCCAGCTTTGCAGATGGATTATCAAACAAGTGTTATATAGAACGTAATAAAATTTGAATTTTTAGTAGAAGGCACCAACTTCATAAAATTCGATATCTGATGTATATACGATAGCCAATATTTAATAATGTAGAATAACTTCGATGAAGAAAGAGATGCACAAGAAATCTGATCAGATTGCTTTGCGATAAGATTATGCGCAATGATATCTAAATTAATATCCTCGTCTTTTCGGAACGAATGTTAGATCGAGACTGCTTCAAATCGGCAGTTTCGCGACAAGCAACGTTCACAACTGAAAATCGTTGTACATTCCTTGTGTTGTTTATCGTTACCGTTTGACTTTCTTATAGTCTAAGTCAAGTACAAATTCTGTAATATCATCGTGTTATTGTAACCGAGATCGTGATCATAACACAAAATATCACGTGAAAGATACATGTGTCACTCGGAAGATTTCCTCGTCGCAAATGGTATGAGATTGCAGAGAGGCATCGCTCCTTTCTATCGTAAGAGCAGGCTTCAATGGAACTTTTCCATCTCGCGGAACATCCTCTCGCTCTCGCTCGGCCAACACTATCCATAATGGACCGAACACGCGATCGAAATTACTCGCGGTGCTAGCCGGCATGTGTGCACAAAAGGCGAACAGCGCGCTGCAGAGTCAACTCTCGCGCGGTGACTCTCGCCGGAAAAATCGAAGATCAAAGCCTTCGGAAATTACATTGGCTGGACGCGACGAGGTCGCCGCGGTGACGAGAACGCGTCTCCGATACGCTCGCGTTCACTCGTAAACCGCCACCGAACGCGTATCCCCGTGGCTTTTATTTCAAAGACATTTCATTGCCATTTTACTGTCACCCTATCTCGAATTTCCTGGAGCAAGTTGCGTGGAGTTGATTCCGGCTGATCCTCGTGCACGAGCGAACGTCGTCTTCGCGGAGAGAGGTTTATATCAGGGTGATAAAAATCCGAAATAATATAGCCCGCGGTAAACCGTCACGAAACTTCGAAACACTGATGACGCAAAAACGGGCGAGAATGTTAACGAAATCGCATATTAAATCTTTCTTAAATACAATTCTCACAATAACCTGGAAGATAAGAATTAAACGTTTGCATTAAAATCAGATTTCCTAAGCTTTGCAAAGAGCATACGAAAACAGATCCGACGTCCTTTTCTGCTTTCATTGATATTCAAGTTTATACATATAATAGTTGGAAATATAATTTTATTATATACGATGCAAAGTTCAGATAATAAGACATTTGTATAATTTATGGCCTCTTATCGGTTATATTATGCAAGAAACGTGCTCTTAAATTAGAAATAATTCGTATAAGTATGTACAGTATATACTTAAAAAATATCTCGCATGCAGAATTAATTTGCGGAAAACTTATTTTTTTTGCGATACCGCGTCGGCCGCGTTGTGCGGCGCGACGCGGGTATCGGCTCTGAAATATCGTGGCGCGCGAATTCATTTATTAGTCCTGCCTTCTCTCCTTCCTGCCCCCTCGCCCCCTCGAATACGGCCTCTCGCGAAAGGAAAAATACGCGAGGCATCCATTTCTCAGAGATAGCCGATGGACCCTCCCCGGATACATCGCGGTACGCGCGCCGAAGTATTGCGCGTTATCTAAATTTATTTATTAGGTGCTATTATAATTCTTACAATTGCTTATCGCCCGAGCCCCCGTTCTGCCGCGGTGGAAAGCATAATTCAGTCCGACTATCTCGCTTCTCCGCGCGCGCCGCGGCAACGTTTTCCCTCCGCCAGACCTTTAACGTTAAATGGAATTCTGTCGGTATGCCATAAGGCGGACTAGCCGGGATGAGCTTTATCGTGCCGTACAGGAGTTATAATACGAGCATGGCGTGATAGATGAATCATCGCAATCGTTGCCTCGTTTCCAGAACGTATGCCGCACCGGTGGGCGCGCGAGATTCGCGCGTGAGAAATTCGACTTGGACGTCGGCGCGGCTATCGATCAAGCGTCCCGAGACCACGCGGGAGTGCAAAACTTCGCTCGTAGCGTATGACTTTAATCATATTGTGCAATTACACGAATTTACGTACGCGAATGAAACATATATATTTGTCCATTTATTTGCTTATGCGGAGCATTTCACAAACACCAATATTTTAATGTGACGTTGAAGGAAAGATTCAAGAGTTTTCAATTAAAATCTATTATTAACAATTAATTTATCCATGTAAATTTAAATGTGAATGTACTACATATATAAGAAGTCAAAAGAGAAAATTAATATCATTTGTGAAAATTACTAAGAAATGGCAGATCAGTATGCATTTAAATGTAGTTTGTATGATTAGAATTATTAACTCGATAATTACTGAGATATCAACATTTATATTAAAATTTCCGATTCTAATCAATCTCCAAGTTACTCTGTTAGGACACATTGTGTGGGATGGTTAAGCAGCTCACCTATCAATCATGACACCATCGAACTATTCTCCTCACGATAATTTCGATTTTGCGACGGTATAAGTTGCGACAACGGTGCCCGTGCGTAAATCATCGCTCTAACATCACGGATCGTTACGTTCGCAGTTTATAGCGCTGAAAACGCTCGTTGTTCTTCGAGGCCATTAGACAAGGAGATTTCATCCGCTCATCCGAGCGGCGGCGGCGGGTGCCGTAGCAGTGGAACAATTTCCAGCATAGTTTCCAAGTGCCTAACATTACTAGCTGAAAATTTTCGTCACGCGCACGAGGGGATGGGGACGGAGGGGTGCACACGCACACGCACGCGGGAACACGAACACGAACAACGCACACGCACGCCCGCGCGCCCGGAGATTGATCGTGTGTGCGTTGTTAAAGTCGTTAGCAGCGCGAGTTAACCGAGTCACAGCGTTACAACCGGCGGCACTGCCGTCTTTATTGAATTACAACTTAGACACATCCGGATGCAAGGTACACGGATGCCGGGTTTATGCCGCGCGGATTAGCATGCAAATTCGCCGCATTGAATTTCATAGTTTCGACAGCTGTAACAACCGAATAGATTCGTCGTGACGCGGCGCGGACCGGCACCGACGACGACGGTCTCCCAATCCTCCCTTTCCCTTCCCTCCCTTCCTCCCTCCCTCCCTTTCCCGGTTGCTGTCTCCTGATAAGCGAATTGTTTCGCCGGATCGTGCTATAACCGAGCGCAGGATAACTCGATCCAACGGCTGCACTGCTATCAGCGAGATTAATACATGGCTCGTAATGAAAACGGGAATCAAGTGAAGATGGACGCCGCGTCCCAATCGGGTTTCAAAGCAAATCGATGTTAAATGTAAATTGAAGAAGAATTGGATTTCCCATATACGTTAATCATTTATTCACGCAAAATATTGCCGAGTAATGAACAAGCGAAATAATATTTATTGCTTTCGACGTAGATTCAATATCAAAAGTCGTTAAAATGCATGTCCCCTCTCCCACCCCCTCTCCCCCGATCGAAACTCATTCCGATGACAATATTGTCGGAAACTGGCGGTTGCACTCCCGCCACTCGCTTCACAGCCACACCGCGACAAATGTCATGGAAAATATTAATCCAAATGTACCGAAAGTAAAATTTATTGCTTACAATGTAGCAACTGCTTTATCCGAGTTATTCTTTTTAATTCGTCCTGGACATTTATCGCTACCGAATTAATCAGTACGCGAAAAAAATTTTCAATTTAATTATTTGTGAGTTTAGCGTACGGACGAACAAATTTTATATTCGTAGTATTGTCTTTTTTTTAAATAATTTTCAGAGTTTTATGTAAAATTTCCTTCATTTACATCCGCACAGTGAGGTCGTGCTCCAGTTTTTATGACACATGTAACTACGCGAAATTTAATATCATGTACATTTAACTCGAGTATCTTACACGCATACGGCTCGCGTATACATGTCCCGTGCCAGGTCGCCGGCGTAATCATTCCTAAGCGGGCATTATCGCGCCCATGACGGTGTTAGCATGTCGCAATTTTTTTCTTTCTCAGCGTCTTAACGTCCTTGCGATCTTCACACGCGCGGAGGTCCTCCCTATCGCTTCCATGGATCTCCGCCATTCTCATTACATCGTTTGCGCAATAGGAACTTAAACGCGTCCCGTCGTCGCGAGAAACAAAACGCTAATCAGTGCTCTCTCTCTCTCTCTCTCTCTCTCTTTCGCATACGTGCGCGCGCGGAAATTAGTTTTTATGGGATCATTCGTTGTCGACCGTTGCGAAATGTCACGGGGATAATTTAGGGCGTGGCGGAATTAAATTAATATTCTAACGGCGAAAGAGCAACTTACAATATTTTCGGCGCGCAGCGCGCGCGCGGATTTAATTACGCAAATAGGGGAGGGACGAGAGAGAATGCGATATTCCCGCGTATTCCAATAACTCGTCATTGGCCCGATCAAATTTACTGCCGCGCGTGTGTATCGATGCCGCCGCGAAACCGCGAACGTATGTTGCTACGAGCAAAATTCAATACCGCCCGACCACCGGGGTGGAGGCCGCTCGGTGAACCCGTATTTATCGTCGACGCTAAGCCGCCTTGCTATGCCTCGCCTTACCTCGCCTTGCTTCGCAAATGCAACACGAGTTGCCGGTAAGCGGCTTGCTAACGCGATTCTCGCTCGTATACGGGTTAAGGCGCGTAGGTACGGTACCGACTTTCGCGTAAAAGCGAAACGCCCTTACGGGCTCGTGGCACGAGCCCGACTTCGCGTAGTATGCTCTTAGCATGCAAGCGCGGGTACCTACGCGGGGGAGAGACCGCCGTGCACACGAGCCGCTCGTATATTTCGCCTAGCGCCAGCTTTCGTGCCGTTACGTTGTCGTATTCGTGTGCGTTATTCGTGGCCGCTAAAGCTATACGTCGAATCATACCGTAATAATGTGCCCGAAGAAGATATCTTCACCGCGTGCACTTTCTCTTTCTCACCGTGACTTCTTTGTTCCGCGTCGCGTTCTTCTGACTTCTGACGGTCAGTCGCTACGATGTCTCCGACTTCGCTTCGCGTCTTCTTTAGTTTTTACTGCAATCATTAAAATTACACTCGTAGGCGATGCGATTACGTCACAGTTTCACGATCAGAGATGAATATTATTTAAGAGTTATAAATTATGCGTATAAAAACACTAATAATGTCCAATTATTTTCGTATAAAATTTACTCTATGTAGCAGATATAATTATGAAAAAAAAAAACAGACAGACAAGGCTGTTTTTATTAAATTCATGCTTTTTCTATGTTATCTCATTTCCAAATATCTTTTATTTTTCTCATTCAGTATGTTTTTCCACGGAATTTTCTTGACAATGGTTT